TTGAGCATATGGAATCTTCGAACGCAAAGCATTGAACTTCTTTGCCGATGGAATTATTCCCAAGAACTTATAGTCTACAGAAGTTCAAAAAAAAATCCAATATCTCTACCTCCTCTCCCTATCCTCCCCAGGTACCTAGGCACGATGTTCTTCGAACATTATGGGGATTCCCTTTCGTGTGCTCCAAAATAGTAAAAACATTACCCTATCAAACCTGGTATCGTTTAATTATTTTTGTTAATATCTAAATGGAAAGTTGGTGTCGTCTCCGGTAAAACTGGAAGTGATTGGAGAGTATGAAATATCGAAAAATTGCACAATTTATCAATCCAATCCTCCTGAAAGATTTGAATATCATATACCTTCAGAACCATTCAGAACTGTGGAAACCAGGGATTGTCTAATGAGTACTTTGCCTGTGATAATTATGTGAGGGGTGGGAAAAATGTGATATAAAATTTGAAATGGAATTACCTCTACATCAGGTCGATTATCGAATCGTTACATTTGAATAGCAACATCGCAAGATACTATGCGCCTATCGCACATCTTCGCAATAGTCTCTGTCTCTGCCACCTACAGTGAAACAACAACTATTCTTCGTAACTGGCAATGTTGCCAAATGCCATCCTTTCTTAATACTCCTATATGTAATGATTCGATGAACAAACTGTATATCTTCAGTCTAGGACATTCTCTCCATCGCTTGAGTTCAGGATATAAACCAGTCCTTGGCTGATCAATAACACTTACATCCCCAATTATATATATCTATACACATACATACCTAACTAATAATTTCGTGACTACAGACTATATATAGGTTTTAACGCTACCTACGCAATTGAAAGTACTACTCTGTTATTACCTCGTAAACTAAAGTCATGTCGATGTCGAAAAAGTCGAATGCAGTAAGTTTGAAATCCCATTGGAGTATCTGTTTAGCGAATTTGTTCACCTGGAAATGAAGTATAATATGTTATTATGTCGAGTTTTTAGATAGATTCTTTAATAATTTTTTGAAGATCAATATGCGTGTAATACTCAAAGTCGCTGGTACAATAATTATTATCATATAATTTGATATTATCTTTGACCACAAAGTCGTTCGACTATTACCTACACATCACGAATAATTGACCATTTCAGATCTATACAGGGTGTTTCAAAAAAGGTGTCCCTGTTGCTAGGGTATGGAAGAAAACTGCAAAATGAGTTTGGGTTTGCTCAGTGAAAATGGCATGACGGCATTCGTATTCAAGTTACAAGGTGATGAGAAGAAAATTTTTTACACATTTATTATGAATATGTGTTGGAAGCTGCCGAATCGCTTGAATTTATTTTTATATCTGACTCTCATAGAGGGCGTTATTTACACAGTAATTCAAAACTTTTTTGAAGTTGGATGTTTCAGTCCAAATTCCATGTGAACTTGAACATCATTCAATTATACATCAAGAAGGTACTCTTGGTGAACCTCAATATAGGTAGCGTTTTCGAAATATTTTGATTTGAAAATGAAGATGTATATACAGGGTGTCCCGTGACTCGATGCCCATAGCTTAAGGGCATATCCTTTCAACAGTTTTAAGTCGAAAGTGTCCTATACACTTCTGTCCAAAACTCTTTACATAGTTGAGAAATAATGAGCATAATCAAATTTAACAGAGTGTGTAAAGCAAAGAGAATGTTGAATAAAGTAATGTTATAATTTATCAATTGAGAATTTCCTTGATTTCTCACATAAATTTAATCGAGGTTTTCGTTCAAAATATCCTATCGCTGCATCACAATACATTCTGGCTGGTCCAATTATTGAAAACGGGGAAATATAATTTGCTGACCAAAATTATTAAAGTATGCTGACCAAGCATTTTTGGTTCGAATTTCACCTTCAAATTGTATATTTGAATATTCTATATGAATATATGGGCCACCAGTAGAATGATACCGATCCACCTCTTCAGAGGGGTAGTTTATTCTTGCAGTTTTTTAAAAATCGTTGCTGACCGAGCATTTCTGGTTCGTATTTTTCCATCAAATTACATATTTGAATATATCATATAGATTTATAGATGCCACTAATGGAATTATTCCGATCCACCCCTTCAGAGGGGTAGTTTATTCTTTCAAGAATCCATGCTGACCGAGCATTTCTGGTTCGTATTTCTCCATCAAATTACTTGTTTGGATATCTCATATGGATTTATAGATGCCACCCGTAGAATTATTTCGATACACCGCTTCAGAGGGGTAGATTCTTGCAGTTTTTCAAAAATCCTTGCTGCACGAGCATTTCTGGTTCGTATTTTTCCATCAAATTACATATTTGGATATCTCATATAGATTTATCAAAGCCACCAGAGGAATTATTTTGATCCACCCCTTCAGGGGTGTAACTCTGAAACGAAGATAGATATCGATATGCAGTTTTCGCCAGTGAGTTTGCCATTTGAATTGATCAACAGGCACCAACATCAGTTTTTTTCTCGTACGGGAATAGGACTTTCCCTTTAAAAGTGTCCAATTGGGCCCACCCTGTACATCTATATATTTCAACATTATTGTTCATACGATGTATTTAGTCAGTAGGTATTGATAAAGAAAATGATTATTTTCGAAAGCTCGACAAAAAACAAGCAAATCTTACTGTTTGGTCACATTATTACTTCCCTCGAATATTCCCAAGAATATGTATACATATACAGGGTGTTTTATTAATAAATGGGAAAATGTCAACTACAGAGTTCTGAGCTCAAAATATTAAGATTCAACCCAAATCACCTGGATGAAATGTGTCTCCTGTCTGAGATACCCTGTGTTTATTCATTTTCGACGTCTGTCAATGTGCTGAGTTTTTTCGGTTTCATATTAGCATTATGATAATAATTCTTTGAAGTACATTCTCATGCAGTTTCAATTTACTGTCATAACGTACAAGGCACTGACGCGACTCTTACAATATGTTCTGTTATGTCATACACATGCATTGCAAAACGTACATGACTTTAACTCCACAATGACAGAATAACATACTCTTATTTGGCATCAACCAAGGTGGATAGATATAAATCAGAAAGCCTTTGCCAAATCCATGTACGTTGTGCTTATACAGTCTGTCCAAGATGAGGTTGAACAGCATGGGGATCTCGAAAACGGTAGGAGATACGAAGTCGGTTAAATGGGGAAAAAGTTGCGCATTCGGAGGCTCATATCAAGAGCCTTCGAAAATTTTTAAAATTATTTTTAGTTTTTGAGTTATTTCGAAAAGTGAATTTTTGGAATATCTATTCATTTTTTTCTCCGTTATTATTAGAGATACAGAAAAACTGAAAATACTTTTTCATGGCAACTTTTGATGACGTTTAACGTGGTGATATCGATTTTTCTATGCGACGTTTCGTATTCGTAGAACCATCATCAACTTTTGTTTTTCAAATACGGTCTTGATAATTTTTTCACGGATTCTGAAGGGTTTTTTCATTTTGAATTCAACCATGTATTATACAAGGTGGCTTAGGTGTGTTTCGACCTATTTTGAAGGAAAATTAGTCAACACACTAATACCTCATCAACTGGTTTCAATCAACAACCCATTTCATTTTGTGAAAACAAAAATTCCATCCATACAAATTCAGAATATGTCAAGCGCTTAAACCAGGCGATGACGAAAGGCGTGAGTGGTATACCAGAAAATGTCAAAATTTTGCAGATTTCCCTTGAACAATCATCTGGACTGAAGAAAGCATGGTCACTAATCATGGTATCTTCGATAGAAAAAATACACATTATTGTTCACGAGAAAATGAACATTTATACATTACAGCGAGACACCAACACCGTTTCGGCTTTAAAATGTGGGTTGAAATATTTGGTACACGAATTATTGGTCCTTTTATTTACCATGAAATACAGACTTCCGAACGTTATAGAAATTTGCTTGAGAATCATCTTGAGGAAGCTCTGGATGATTTACCGATTGCGGAAGTTCAGAACTGTTGATTTCAACAAAATCCGGTACATAATTCCAGAGAAGTCCGTGCGTTTGTATTCAGAAAAATGGATTGGTACTCATTCTACAGTCCCTTGGCCGGCGCGGTCGCCTGATTTGACACAGCTGGATTTTTTCTCAGGGGATATATCAAAAACTTTGTATACGCAAATAACTTTGATGATGAAGAAGAACTAAGGGACAGTGACATCGAAGCATTCAATAAAATAACCCCAGAAATGCTTAGTAATGTCTTAGAAGCAACTGTGAGAAGAGGATATCTTTGTTCAGAAAATAATGGTTATCATTTTGAACATTTGTTATGTAGGTATTCTTAAAGTTAAGTATTGTTAAAGTAATTCGGGTAAGAAATCATTAATAATTTTGAGCGCCGCATTGAATGATGTAGTGAAATATTTTTTATTCACTCCGTATTGAATAACTAATCCATCGATGTTTGACACTAAATGATCAGAAATAAGTGGAACTGATGGCACTTTTAATTTGGAAGTTCAAAAAAGCAGTGACGATGGATAGAAATAAGTCGAAACACATCCGAATCACCTTGTATAATACATGGTTGAATTTAGAATAAGAAACCTTACAGAATCTGTGGAAAAATGATCAGGACCGTATTTAAAAAACAAAAGTTGATGATGGTTCTACGGATACGAAACGTCGCATAAAAAAATTGTTATCACCACGTTAAACGTCATCAAAAGTTGCTACGAAAAAGTATTTTCAGTTCTTCTGTATCTCTAATAATAACGGAGAAAAAAAATAAAATAGACATTCCAAAAATTCACTTTTTTCGATATAACTCGAAAACTAGAAATAATTTTCAAAGGCTCTTGATATGAGTCTCCGAATGCGCAACTTTTTCCCCATTTAAACGAATTCGTATCTCCTACTGTTTCCGAGATCCCCATGCTGTTCAACCTTATCTTGGACAGACTGTATGCTGCCGGCATGCCCCGATGAATATAGATACGGCCTAAAGTCAATGACGCTAATGTGAAAACAAAGAAAACAAACTTACTTCCTTCACTACAGAAAAGTCGTGCTCATTTTTCACTTCAAATAAGATATCACCAGTCTTGTGAACCTAAAAAATGTCCAAAAATCAGTTAAGCAATATAAATTTCGAACACCAATAGTTCATGACTCGGCTTATGATATTTTTTTTATGTTCTGGTTCCCACGAAGAAAGATATCCTGTAATGTTCAGAGGACATCGTGAGAACCAAGGGAAATGAGGTAGGAATTGGTGTTCTTCTTAAATTTCTGGAGGTTATATTATGCCTCGGGGAACACCTCCCTTGGCAATGTGTTCCAGAGCCTCGCTGTTCGTTGGATGAACGAGTCTTTGGAAAGAGATGTTCTGCAGGTCTCCAGAGTGACCACGAAGGGGTGCGAAGCCTCAACTCTACGGGTTAATCTCGCGGGGACTGCCAAGGGAGGAACAATTGTTGATATTTCAGAAGAGCATCGTCCATGAAAATATCGTTTAAATAAAGCTATAGATCGCCAAATGGAAGAAGGGAAGTCCATGAAAATATCCACCTCAGACGATGTGTTGATGAAACAAGATAATATTACATCAAAACCCAAAAGAATTATACCTAATTCATCCTGAGCATTCAATCAGGTCATCATAATTTCATCGAAATGCCTATACTGAAAACCTTATCCCATATGTTTTAATGTATTATCTGGACACGCTTGAAGTATTCATTGCACGATGGATTGAAATTATTTTGTTTGCGTTATTGCCCTAATTACAAGATTTTTCAGTTAGGCAAGATATATGTAGAACAACACTTTATCAAACCTCGTTTGTTTATAGAACGGCAAAGCTCTGGAATTATTTGCCAAAGGGGGTATTTCCAAGAATTTATAATCTCCAGAAAATCAAAAAAATCCAAATACCTATGCTTCCTCTCCCTTTTCTTCCTATACCTAGGAAACACGGAACTCTTCGCGATCTCTCTAAGTAGTTATCTTCAGGATCAAAATGTGAAATCCTCTTGCGAGGTGCCAAAGATCACTATAGGCTGTCACCATGGGAAATACTCTCTGGAGTTGTCCGAAAGAAATCGCTGAGATCTCGCCTCAGATTTGAAATTTTCCTCATAATTGCGAATCTATGAGGTTATCTATAACAGGAAATGCATAGGCATTTCTTTCTGCGAGCACCCAAGGATATCCTGGACGTAACAAGATCGAGTATTTCCCATTGCGAGCTCCTAAAGTAATCACGAACATAACCTGAATAATTAATAATGATTTGTTTCAGCACCGAAAATACAGTTACCAAACTTTTAGATCAACGTATTGAGCTTCAATTATATATTATTCTATAGCAAGACATTGATCAAGTAAATTTTTTCACTTGAAAACATCTTTGAGGATTTGGCCGGGTATTCATTTTAAAAAAAGGTAGTCCGATATTTACCCACGAATTTGAAGTAGATATTTGATTCTCGATCCCACCTGAATTGGAACATTTTTGTCTATTCCGTCAGAGAAGATGATTATCATTAATTTACTGCAAAATTTGAAATAATCTTCCACGATGGCAAGGAGATAATAATATGACCTGTTGAACAAATTCTCTGGGACAGTAAGAAAATGAAGTATCTAGTATACAATTATTATTATCATAGATTAATGACTACCATTTCATGTTAATACTGGGTGTCCCAAGTTATTGTATAGGTACCGGCAAAAACTCGCTTATTCGACAAGATGATCAAAGAATAGTAGAATTGCTTCTTTCTTTATGACTTGAAGAAAATGTATTAGATCAGACAGCCCCCTGGTAGCTACCCCTCAATTTTTATTGAATAGACTTCCTGTAAATTGCCTATTTTCTATTTTGTAAAAGAACGATAGCACATCGGGACTTTGTATTTTGTTCATTAATAAAAACAAAAACAATACAATTTTTTGACCTAATTTACGTTACATCGATTGAAAATTGCCTCCTATCATGTTTGTAAAAATTTCCCACAATAAAAGTAGATTAGTTATTACACTAGGTAGGTACCGCGTCTGCAATGATTGATGTTCTGCACTTCAAAATGGAATATGTGTCATTGATTTTTTGGAACAAAATGTTCATGTTTTTGTTGTTATCAATGAACAAAACACCAAGTAAGTGCTATATCGTTGTATTCCAAATAGATTGACTCGCAAATATCCAGAGACAATATGCTATTCAAAAATAAAAACTGCAGGGGGCTGCCAAATATATCACATTCTTCATAAGCCATTAGGAAGGTTATTATTTAATGCCGTTCAATGCAGTTTTTTAATATTCTTGATATCTTGACAAATAGGCGAGATATTGCCTGTATACGATAACATGGGACACCCAGTTTTCGAATTATAAAGACTATTAAAAGAAACAACTCAATATTTTTGTAGTAATATTCATTAATTATTCAGGTTATGTTTGTGATTACTTAAGGAGCTCGCAATAATGAGGAATATTTCAAATCTGAGGCGAGATCTCCGCGATTTCTTTCGGACGACTCCAGAGAGTATTTCCCATCGTGACAGCCTATAGGGATCTTTGGCACCTCGCAGGAGGATTTCGCATTTTGATCCTGAAGATAACTACTTAGAGATATCGCAGAGAGAGAAAGCATGGCATTTGGCAACATCGCAGAGGAATGCCAAGAGCAACGCTCGCCGTTAGACAGTTCAGGAGAATCAAGTTTTCATTCACACGCCCTATATGTTACGATTCGATAAACGACCTGTATAAGTTTGTGTCATATCTGCAAATCCATACACCGAAGAAAAAATGGGAACCTCACGGTATTTTTTGCGCAAAAAATTTTCTCTTAGACGTAATTATTGATGCAATATTATGTCTAATAACTTCATAGACCTAGAAGGGGTACAACATTATTAATTTTCAAAATTTTTCTGTTTATACCAAATTTATGCAAAATCTGATGAAAAAAATCTCAATTTATACAAAAAAGTAGGACAGGACAGGAACGTCAAGAACCGCAAGGCCTTATCTTTAATAACAACCGAGAAACCCGGCAGTCTCAACCTCTGAATGGGTTGGAAGCTCAAAATAATGGAATACGTATAATGTTTCATCGAAAAATGCCCATTAGGTTAGACTGTTGAAAATCATAGTCTCATTTCGTCTTTTATGTGAGGAAATGTTAGGTTACATTATTTAGGTAGATATACAGTTTACTTCCTCATTCAAAATAAAATCAGTTTTATTACTGATTACACAATTTATATCCCTTCATCCCGAATATAGAAGTTTTTCTTGAGTTATTGATTTCACTCCAAATATCCCATGACAATGAAGTGATATTGACTAACGAACATATATTCAAGAGCGTGCCCGGGAGGGGGGTCCGGGGTTCTGGACCCCCTCCCGGAATGGCGGCCTAAATCCAACTATTTCTTGGACCTTTCCCCCTCTATCCAAAAAACTTCTTGGCACAGCCTTGGGTTTATATCGACATTAAGATGATATTTTCAACGTTATTATAACCTCAATTTAACAAATAAGTCTTGTTTCTCGTGAGCTCTCGATATTAGCTAACGACAGTTTCCAGTATATTATATAAAAAATTGCGAGAATTGTGAGTTGCTGAAATTTTTCAATAAACTCATCCTTTGAGTAATCAAACGGAGTTTCATCTGACTCTCTTATCATAAATGCTGGTGTTCCGCAATGATCAATTCTAGCATCAACACTATTTTTACTCCAAATCAACGATTTGTTGGAAGCAACTTCATGTCTAGTACACAGCTTGCGGATGATAATACCCTCCATACCGCCTTCTCTTCCAGAGCTGCAATACCAGCCAGGCAAATCAGAAACGAACGAGGGAGAAATGTTGACAACATAAATATGGACTTGGCAACAATTCTCGAATGGGTAGATTTCAATGCAAACAAAACGCTCTAGAAAAGCCGATCTCACTGTGCCCAACATAAGCTTGTCAGGAGTAACCATACCTTTGAAGACATCCAAACATACCCTGAAACTGTTGGATTCTGTCTAAAAAAGGGCAATTCGTCTCGTGGGTCATGGGTGATGCCTCGCTCACAAACTCACTCACTTCTCTGGAACACCGTAAAAAAGTTAGCGATCTGGCTCTATTTTATAGATATTTTCATGGACGATGCTCTTCTGAAATATCAACAATTGTTCCTTCCTTGGCAGTCCCTGCGAGATTAACCCGTCGAGTTGAGGCTCTGCACCCTTTCGTGGTCACTTTGGAGACCTGCAGAACATCTCTTTCCAAAGACTCGTTCATCCAACGAACAGCGAGGCTCTGGTACACATCGTCCAGGGAGGTGTTCCCCGAGACATATAACCTCCAGAAATTCAAGAAGAGCACCAATTCCCACCTTATTTCCCTTGGTTCTCACGATGTTCTCAGAACATTACAGGATATCCCTCTTCGTGAGACCCAGAACATGAAAAAAAAAATACGTCCATCGTCATCCAAAACATAAATCATCACAGGTCACAAAAAAAGCCATGTAAAATTACTCTAATTGAAAAAATCGAATCACTGATCGATTGACATCTTCCGCTGAAACTTGGTCTGAAAATTTTTTAAATCAAAATTTATCGTGTTCAACCTTTTTTATATACTTAAATAAACTCAAAAATCTTTTGTATTAGGGTTACATAGGTATGTTGAAATATCATCACAACAATATTGCCCTCTGAGAACTGTAGTTCCCAATATCTCCTTACCTCATTTTTCAAAACAGTACAGATAATGCACAACAACACTATGGAACCAATGCTCGATACAGGCATCATGAAAAGCATGATTGTTGACTTTATATCTAATTTCCCTATTAAAACCTCTCGAAATCTCCCAATGCATAGGTGCGCCCAGTTGGTGAACTCCATGAACGTTATCCCTATCAACAGTAACAGTTGGAATGAAAAATATTCATTTATCATTTTACCAACGGAGCACAACTTATCATGAAGTTTCCTCAATGATTTCAATTTGTTCTTCTCCATAAACGGACGTACATAGATGACCTTCAACTGTCTTGACCAGCCGGTTGATTCCAAGTTCAAGTTACTCATTGTTGAAAGCTCTTTGTTCAGTATTTCAAATCTGTCCTTCATTAACAGTATGTATGAAGTGAATAGGGTTCGCTCCATTGCTTTTATGATGAAAGTGAAGCAGCACAAAGTATAGCAATTCAAAGTCGGATTCTCGGTACTGAAGATGATCATATTGCATTCAAAGTATTCCGAAACTACAACTGGAAGAATTGTCAGGATGACGTACACTGAAAAACAAAGAATTCATGCTATTTAATGTTCCGTCTGGGGAGGGATCGACATAAAACACATTAAGTATATGGTTGATGACTCTTTGCCTTCATTTGCCTCTTTCTTTATTGAGTCATAAACGTCAATAATTTTGATAGTTGTTTACAAGGGCGTCTCCAGAGAGGGGCAGGGTGGGGCAGCTGCCCACCCCCCTAGAGAATAACGCTCACCAGTCACTCTGCTAATTGAAAGGACTATTTCATTCATCACATAGTTTTCCAAGCTGAGGTGTTCGCCATCCTGGTCGTAGCAGAGAGACAAGAGGTGAAAGAGGGACCAGAGCAGAAGATCTACATCTGTTCGGACAGTCAGGCAGCACTCAAGGCTATCTGTCATCCCAGACCGAGCTCAGCATTGGTACAGGAATGTGGAAATGCCCTTAAGATATTAGTAGAATCAAAGGAAGTTGAACTGGTGGTCAGGTTAGGAGGAAACTGCCACCCATGTAATATTGGAGTGCGAAGCACTAGCGCGTTGGAGATACAACCTTCTGGGAGCAGTAAAACTCACAAAAGGCCTTTCCAAAGAATGATTTGGTGAAGAGGCTGCTAAACCTTATAGGTAGCGAACCTGTTCACCTAAGTCAACAGCATGATCAGGAATACAATAGGCCCAAAGGCTGCAGTCTTTTGGGCTTCGAACCCTGACTGATCATTCTACTATTAATCAATCAATCAATCAATCAACAGATCACTAATAGGTAGTATTTGAATCTTCGATCATACAACAGTTCTTGAGATATTAGAGAATACAAAAATACAAAAATTTTAGTTCTTCTTGAATAAACCAGATTTCTTGAATGATTCTGAATCACGATTGAATTTGCTGAAACTTTCGTAATTTAACCGACTCTTTATCTCTCATAGTTACCCAGATCTCAATGGTGAGGATCGACTTTGGGACACACTGTATAAAATTATCCTGTCACGCTCTTTGTGCCAAACTCTTTCAAAACTGCAAGACCGATTCTCATGAAAATTTTTGTGCATATTTGGTAGATCTGAGAATCGGTCGTAAGCTATTTTTTAATTTGATAATTCAAGATGGCGGATCAAATATGGTGGACGAGTTTTGTAATTCTGGTCCGATTCTATTCGAAATTGGTATTTGGGGATTCTTGGGGTCGTAGATTATGATTTACTCGTCAAAAGCAGAAAATTCAAGATGGCTGATACAATATAGCGAACTAATTTTCTAATTACGCTCTGATTCAATTTAAAATTGGTATCTGGGGGTTTTCGGGGTCGGAAATTATGATTTTTTCATCAAAATTGGGAAATTCAAGATGACGGATCCAATATGGCGAATAAACTCCGTGATAAATAGTTGTTTGTGAAGAAACTAAAGAAACACGCTTTAATGAATGGCCAAACAAAAAATATGTAGAGAATAAGGTAATAACAGTGTGCTGATAAATATTTAACGAAGAACATTTTTTCTAGAAGAGAACAGTTATGGATATTGTGTTTGTGGTATGAAGAAGTTTTTATAAAAAAAATGTGATAGATATATAGGTGCTAATACCAATGTCGTCTGCGTTTGAAAATATCCTTAATTATTTTCGATCAGTTAATAGTTTATACATGTAGCATAACAACGATTCCCGGGTCAGCTAGTATTTCATGTTTAACTTTCAAACTGTTGCAATGGTATCAATGATATTCGGGTATAACTCATACTCATACAAATGATCCATTTGATAATTTGTAAACGATTGTTCAGTGATTTTTTCCGTTTGATGGAGGCATTTCTGACAGAGGTGACAAATATTTTACATTTTGCTTCCACCGTTTTATTTCTTCATCTTTTTTCTAGAAAAATAGTATCCTTTATTTTTTTCAATATTTCGTACCATTTTATGGGAAATCGCATTTTAAAAATAAACATCCCCAACGTTTCAGAGTTGATAAAAACTCCATTTATTCTATAACATCATGGTAGTTGAATTCATTGTCAAAATTGACAACAATTTATTTTGATAGTATTCAATAGTTTGGTTAACACCATGGATGAGTTCAGTAATGATGAGCATGCATTATGTATATGAACTTGCAGAAACTTTCAAGGTCAATGCCTCCGTAACGATGAACTAACATTATTTTGGCTCCCTCTATCAACCCTATTATTTCGTGGGTCATCTCACGTAATGACGTATCTCATAAAATTCGGAATTTGAGATACTTCGTCAAATGACCTATATTCTTGTACTCCTTGATCTCACAAAGTGCCGCAGCGCAATATTTGATTTTTTCCGTGTGATTAAATTCCGAATACTCAGCCTATCTCAAATTATTATGGACTACATAATCTCACAAAGTGACCTAATTTTTATTGTCATCTAATGACCTTGGCCACCGCGAATCTCGGTGATGTCTCAAAGTAGTGAAAGGAGTATTGTGAAGTATTGTTAAGGTATTGTGCAAGTGTTATGTTCATTTGTATTCACTTTATATTCATGGGCGTATATAAGGCCATATTGACAAACATGATCTCACGTGGTGACGTATCTCACAAAAAAAAATTGTCTCCGTCTTTGGTGATGCTTTTTCGAAATCTCACGATATCGTAACAACTAGTTCTAGTTCTTCCACTAATAAATAAAAAAATAATGATCTTTCATGGAAAAACCTCTGAGTTAAAGGATAATTAAGATGTTGATCACCTTTGAATGGCTCTCCTGTATATAAAATTGAAAAACTGAGATACGTCACTACCGTCCATTTACGACATGACCTTTCTGGACACTCTGTATTTGGCACAATAGTACCTACTGTACAAAACGTACGAGAGAATTCCCAAGAAATGCTATGAAAATTTGTGAAAGAAAATAATTAAGTGCATGACGAAATACGAAAAATTCGAATTATCTTTCTTTATATTGATTAAGCAGGTAACAAAAAAACTCAAGACTTTAGTGATTTCACAGTCATGTGATGGCCGCCATTTTGTAAATGTCATTTTCTATTATTCTAGTGTATTTCGATAATGACATTCTTGTCCTCGATTTGCCATGTCTGAGAATTTCAATCACCTCTTTCTATATAGCCTTGAGAAGATGGAAGATAAGCAATTTTCTGATTATGCAGCTATATTGGCCACCCTCTTGGAAATTTCAGATTCGGTGGTAATGTTGAAATTTCCACAAGTACTTGATCACGTTTCTAGTCTGAATGAATCGGAATATAAAATAATTTCGAATTTTACCGCGATTTTGGCCGCCATCTTGAATATGCTTTTGTTTGAAAATTCGGTTTGAAAACAGTAATTTCTGGATTCTGAATTCAGCGGGTCATAAAGGAAGAATACATTTGCCCAATTTTTATCCAATTATCGTGAATACATTATTCAATAAGTTGTTGCTCACCTGTAATGTAATTCTTATATTTGTTATGATTCGGTGAAAGTCCCATATTTTTCAGCTCTATATCTACCTGGGCAATTTGATTGAGAGCTCTCGTGATCAAACCATACTTTTTGCAATTGATTATCAAACTTATCAGAATTGTTGATGATACTAGTAAATAATATACTTCTTTGAAAACAGTATCCAGAACATGTGTATCTTCACTTTGTTTCCTCTTTGTGATGAAAATGTGAATATAGAAGCCTGTAACAAATAATGCCATCAATATAATATAACACTTGATTACTGTTCGGATGAATTCGAAATATTTGAAAATTGTCGTAAATCTCTATTTTCCATCCAATCGGTTGCTTTTACTTTGAATCGAACCTTGCCAAAAAATCGGATTCTCTCCAATTATTACCATTTTACATTATTTTTATGTTCTGGTGCCAACGAAAGAGATATTCTGTAATGTTCAGAGAACATCGTGAAAACCAAAGGAAATAAGGTAGGAATTGGTGTTCTTCTTAAATTTCTGGAGGTTATATGCCTCGGGGAACACCTCCCTTGGCAATGTGTTCCAGAGCCTCGATGAACGAGTCTTCGGAAAGAGATGTTCTGCAGGTCTCCAAAGTGACCACGAAGGGGTTGCGAAGCCTCAACTCGGCGGGTTAATCTCGCGGGGACTGCCAAGGGAGGATCAGTTGTTGATATTCCAATTCCTACTTCATTTCCCTTGGTTCCCACGATGTTCTCTGAATATTACAGGATATCCCTTCTCGTGGGAACCAGAACATAAAAAAAAGCATCGTCCATGGAAATATCTATAAAATAGAGCGAGATCGCCAACTTTTCTACGGTGTTCCAGAGAAGTGAGTGAGTATGTGAGCATGGCATCACCCACGCCCTTTTTTTGGACAGAATCCAACAGTTTCAGGGTATGTTTGGGTGCTGTACTCCAAATATGGTAACAGTATTCCAGGACAGGTCATATCTGTGCCTTATTGATCATAAGCAGCTGACTGGAAGTGAAATAGCTCCGGGCCCGAAACAGAAAACCAAGTTTTTGGGATTCAATTGATCTCACGTGATTTTCCTATTAGTTATTGAAGTTATTGAATTCACATTCGAGAATTGTTGCCAAGTCATTATTTCTTCCTCGTTCGTTTCTGATCTGCCTTGCTGGTATTGGAGCCCTGGAAGAGAAGGCGGTATGGAGGGTACTATCATCCGCGAAGCTGTGTACTGGACATGAAGTTGCCTCCAACAAATCGTTGATATGGAGTAGAAATAGTGTTGGCGCTATAATTTATTCTTGTGAAACACCAGCATTTATGATAAAAAAGTCAGATGAAACTCCGTCGACCACTACATGGAGAGACCTGTTTGAGAGAAAACTAGCTAGCAGAGAACATAGTTGTGGTGGCAAGCCATAAGATGGAAGCTTGACGAGGAGTCCGTGGTGCCAGACACGATCGAATGCCTTATTGGAGATATCAAGTGCCACGGCTTAGGTTTCACCATATTTTTCAATAGATTGCTGCCATATATGTGAGACATAAGCGAGCAGGTCACCAGTTGATTACTGATTGCCTATCGTTGATAATAACTGAATGTTCCCGTTATTTCATGAGTTCGATGTTGATAGCTTTCTCCATGATCTTTGAAATAATAGATAGCAGTGCGATCGGTCTGTAGTTGCTAGGTAGGGTTTTTTTTTTCCTTTTTTTAGGAACTGGTTGTTCCCTTGCAATTTTCCAGTTGGACGGGAATATCCCCAATTTGAAAGTGTACTTGAACAACTTACAGAGAACAGGTGTTAGTTCGGGAGCAAAAGGTGATCTTGGGCATATGACTGTCAATTGGCGGTATGTTTTGAGGTTGTTTTCCCGAGTGGAATTTCCAGCAAATGAATGCGCAAAAATGTTGGCTTTCTCCTGGGCAGTTGTGGCTAGTCTTCCATCTTCCTTGGTTAGAGGAGGAAACGAGCTGGAAGTGACGTTTCTTCATACAGCTTTGGCGAAGGACCAATATGAATGAGATCCGTTAGCACATTCAACAAGTTTCGATCTTATTTAGGCATTATGAGCATTTTTGCTTTTGGGTGTATGATAAATTGACAGTATAGGAATTTGAAAAATAAAAGATCCTTACTCAAAAGCAAGTATGATAGTATTTTCCTACTAGATAGTTCAATTATTTGCACAAATAAATCTTTGTAGTAGGGGTAGTTTTTGAATATGCCAGCGGCATTGAAAAATTGAATATTTCATCAACGAATCTTGAGAAAAACAACAATATTTTTCACCTACGGCCACTATAGAAAATAGGAAAGAACACACGAGATACAACCTCAGTAATAAGTAGCTCTTTACACACAGTAAGCACATCTCACAGTTTTCGTTTATTCCGCCAGTATAGGTATATATATATGTCATGATCGCGTAATCGCCGTCAACAGCGGATGACATAGCTGTCAAGAATTACAATTCAGACTGTTTGTCCAAACTTTTTTTATGTACTTTATGGCAGTAGGTGAAGTATACAGTGTGTACCACTTACCATGCTCACCATGGGTATCTTTTTAACGGTGGGAGATACGAGGTCGGTTAAATGACACCAAATGTGGAGTTTGTCAAGGCCAACTATAATGTGAAAACATATTTTGATAAAATCTATTCGTTTTTGTTTTATACGCAAAAAACAGATTCTGATCATTTTCATGTCTCCTCCGTAACTTCTTTATTTATGAAAATGTTCAAATAGGAATTCCACATTCTCATGGCAGTTTTTCAAAGTGATTTCGAAAAAAATATGAAATTCGTACCAACTCTTCTAGAATTTGAGATATCAGCACCAACTATAGTTTTTCAAATGTAGGTCATAGCTCACTATGACTTAGTTACAAATAACTTGTTTTTCTCTAACAGATGATATGTCGCAATAATAGTTTTGTGTTGATAACAACGGAGTTATCGTCATTTTTCTCGATAATTGCCGCCTGCGGCGGACATTGGCTGTTCTATAATAGTTCTATTCATGTGTGAACAGAACATCGCAGTGGGGGTTCAATGTCTTGAAATCTCGTACTTTTAACATCTCTGAGATGTTTTTGTGCTCGCTGGGATATGCAGTTTGACTATTTTTCGAAGAAATGCGTGAATAAGTCCGAAACGCGGAATTGCAGACCCATGCAATTTGTCATCATTGAACTTATCTCGTCGATCTTAATTCAAAAATGATATGAAACTGAGGGTGTTCCTAACTGAAATTTCGAGAAAAATCAGATTTCGAAAAACAGCATCACTTGTGGCGAATTCAAGAAATCTACGATGAAGAGAACATACATACATAATTTGTTTATTCATAACGAAAAACGCCGATTGAAAAAATTAACAATGTTTTTAGAGGGTGTTGAAAATATATCTATATTTTATAGTTTAGTGACAGATGACCTTTCTCCTCTCACGCTACGAATATTTTCGTTTTTCGAGAAAATTCACCAGTTAACACAGGATATCTTATGGATATCCATTTCAAGTCTTATTCAAGACGGGATATCCGTGGACATAAAATGTATATCCATAAGATATCCGATTGCGGATGTACTTAAGATATCCGAAACAAACGTCCTGTATACGTCAATAGGATATATCCATAAGATACAGAGACAAAAAATCAATACCTAGAAATTTCGAATCAAGTATATACAATGAATAAAATGATGAATAAATGAAAGAAGATCCACAAAGTAACACTTGTGCGTGGGTATTCCAAAACATTGTGATGCACTATCTCCTAATATGTAACGTCTCTACCAACCTTGGAACAGTCAAATAATGTCAATCTGTTCTCATATTTAATTAATTTGAAGTGAATTTGGAAGTGATTCCTACGAATTCGTCCTAAATTCGTGATTCTTTCTATATATAGGGTATACTATCTCTTATCCATATCCATAGTTGATATCTTATGGATATCCATAATGAATATCTCTAAGACATCCAAAAAGGTCACACTGTCACATCCTATGGACGTCCATAGGACATACCAGAGCCTTTTTCGAATATTTTATGGACATCCACAATATCCATGATGGATATCCATAGTATATTCATAAGATGTACTTGTGTTATCTGGGTAATTGCAAGGCTATATGTATTTAATTGAAAATTTCATAACTACTGTAACAAGAAGGTGCAGGGCCTCGGTTAAACAATTCGTGCTCATCATTTCGGCGTTTCAATAATTTTAAAAAAAATTTCTTTATTGAGCAATGTAACTTTTTCTATCCATGATTTTTAATATATTTGGCTGATGATGGGCCTATGATAGGCCCGAAACATGTCCCACCCATCATTGTAACATTTTGTCATTAAAAATTGTGGAGACGACTTGGAGATTTTCCTTCTTTCTAGACTATACTTATTGTAGAATAAGGTCATGGATATGTCCGAAACGGGTCGTCTACTCAGATCCATGTTATAATATCATTGAACTCATCTTTCTGAGATGTATATAAGGATGCTATGGAATACAGGATGTTCCATTTGAAACGATCAAATGATTGATATGTCACAGGCTCAAGGGTCATTCTGTATAGTTGACATTATCTAAAAAGGAAAGTCCATATAACTATAAACAATTTCGATTTCAATTTTTTTTTGTTTCCAATCTAGCTTATATAACTTCCAATGTATGAGCGAGTATCGAACGGCATTTTCAAATCAAAATATCTGTCTTCACTTTCAAATCCTGTTCTTCGCTGAATAATTTACGGTAGAGTTTGTACGGCGGTTTTTTCGGCCCAAAGGTTGTTCAGAGAAGATCTAAAACATCTTTCCACGTTGACACTGTCTATTTTTTTTTTTTATCGATTGGAGCACACGAAAGGGAATCCCTATAATGTTCAAAGAAAAACCGTCTGGAAGGATTGGTAAACCTTTCAGAGCATTTTTATCCGAAACTCTCGAACAGTCTTTGAAGATTTCGACTCATTGTTGCGCCATCGAAACGCGAAGCACACTTGGAAAAATTTCCTGAAGACGCCATCGGCGCATCAGGAGCGACAGTAGTAAGCCTATTCAACAATTCTTGGAATTGTTCGTTGGTCAGCAGTCATTTCGCAACTAGAGTTCGTATTGTTCTCTTGTACCGGAGAATATCTCGAATCTGGTAAAGTTATTCCCTCAGCTATTTCAACATCGCGCGAACGCAGCGAATGAATAATTGTCTTTGAAATATCCACGGTTTGCAGTGTGGTGTTGAATGAGGAAAATG